TAGCTTACCTGCATGTGCAGCGGTTTGCACAGTTCATTCCTTCATCCTTGAGAGTCTCTGTCATTTTGTCAGTCCGTCCAACTCGATTATTTATTTTTGCGTTCGCTAAAAATGTCATCATTCTCAAAGATAAAGAACAAACATATATTCTTTATTTTTTATTTAATAAACAAGTGAAATATTTTTAATTTTTGCCTAACATCTGGAAAACTCATGTCATTTCGCTCGAATCTCCGCTAATTTGACTGTTATCAAAACACTCGTATAATCCAGTCTTGAATAGAGAATAAAGTGTCGAAAAAAAGGTTTTAAATAAATTATTATTTTTTTTTGCATAAATCAAAGTCAAATTAAATTTTAATCAATTATACAAAAATTATAATGGTAAAATTTCAGCAGCTGTTAACGTGACTTGACTGTTTGCACCTTCAATCAAAAATCCGTATACATCATCACTGATACCTAACGAAACTATTTTCATGAGGATAAATGATTTCGTCACATTATTTGTCGGCGATGATGATTGATGAAACTGGCAAAACCTGTAATGATTATAATCTAAGAAAATCAAGGGTAACTTTAAATGTTTGAAACTGTCATTCCCTTAAGTTTCTTAAAACTATTTATATTTACTTACATTGCAAGATGGGACATCCAAACGTGGTTAGTAAAGGCAGAAGAGTAGTAAATGAAAGCGCCCAGATATTATCCCATAGCAAAGCATCTCTGAACTAATTTTGCAGAATGTTCGCGCATTATTTGTAACGATGTGAAAGTGTGAACTTTATATTGGAATTTACATTAGAGAAAAATGAGTTTGGCATTCTTGGCTACTAAATTGCAGAGAAAAATTCCAATTTTGTGTTCTGATTCGTGATAAAAGAAAATATAAGGCTTCTTTTTCTTTTAAGTTCGGCATTATTCCAACGCATAATACATGAAACTATTTTTGAGCTCTATTGTTGTTACGAGTATGTATTTATGTATATTTTATAATACATTTTTTTTTCGAAATATCTATTCACTAACCTTTTTAATATGCAGCGAATCTTTGATTTTTGCTATTTAATTCTAGAGACATGAAAGTGAGGAAAGTAGTTCGACAATATCTTCCCTCCATATAATAATTGAGATTCCTTTATCCTGTTTTTTAATTTTATCAATAAAGTGACACTGGTATCGAATTCACAAATATACATTCATGTATTGGATAATAAATTTTCCTTTGCAGTGTGAACAATTAGTCATATATGCACATACAATTTTCAAGTTAGAAAATAAGATATAAAATGCATTTATAGAGGGTACGCATTTACAAGGATGTATTTATAAGGATTAACTGCATTTTTTATTTGTATATATTCCAGACTATTATTTTATTTTGAATGAAATTTTTATTTTATTAAAAGAAAGAGATTGGTTAATCAAAATTTTTTATCTTTTAAAGATTTAGAAAGTAGATTCAAAAAGAATTCATTAATTTTCTAAATATATATATATATATAAATTCATTGAGTTTGATAATTATTATAATTAAAATAATATTAATTTTAAAAATAAATTTTTATCGAATATATAAATTATTTTATCTTCTGAATATTTTATTTAAAAAGAAAATATTATTGTGAGTATTACTAATATATTAAAAATGATATTTCTTATATAAATTTTTTCAAATCATAATATTAATTATTATATGAAAACAATTTAATTTTTAATATTATAAGAATAAAATTTTTTATTATCTTATTGTAATAATATTTATTATTAAGAAATATTTTTATTAAATATTATTTTTATAATATATTTATATAATGCTTTTATAAAAATATTTTATTATATAAATAATTAGAAGATTATTTTAATATATTTGATTTAATTAAATTAAATTTCACGTTAATACTAAATTTTTAGAATTAAATAAGAATATTAAATAAAAGACTTCAAATTTATATTTTATAAATAATATATATAAATATTATTTTAGTATATCCAAATACTAATTAGAATTTTAAATAAAAATAATTATTTAATTTATATAAAATTAAGTTTTTTGAAAAATTTTAATCAATTATCAAAATAATGTTATATTAAAAAATTATATTATAGTACTTTTTAATAATTATATACTTAATATTATATTGAAAAATTATATTATAATATAGAGCTTAATAATAATATAAATTTAAAAAAAATATTATATAATATATTTATTTTGAAATATAAAGAATTTATTTGCAAATATTTATTTATTTAAGTATATATCATTATATAATTATTAATAACTTTTTAACTTTAATGTGCTTAGTTTATTTTATAATAATAATTTATTTAATAATTTATTTAATAATTAGATTATAATTTAAATAAAAATTTATAAAAAATAATCCTTATATAAATAATAAAAATTATTTTATATATATATATTTTAAAATAAATCTTTCTAATATTTCTTATAAACTTTCTTATAAACTTAAATTTAAATTTAAACATTTTTTTAAATCTATTACAAAAATACTTTTAGTAAATTATTTTATATATTATTCTTAAATAGATTTATTTATTAGATTATTAAAAATTTTTTTATTAAATTTTATTCTATAATAAAGAAAAATATAGTTAAAATATTTTTATATAATATATAACAAAAAACTTAACTATACTAAATTTATTATAAATTCACAAATATTATATCAAATTTAATAATCAATATATTATTTAAAAGCAAAAAAGTTATATAATAAAATTTATTAGACTTAAAAATTAATTTATTTATTTTTGCTTTTAATAACTAACTTATAATAATATTTTATCAAATTTATTAAATTATTTAAAAAGATTTTTGAAATAGAATTCTATTCTTTTATTAAAATATTCAAATTTTTAGATATTTATTTCTTAATATTACTCTTAATAATAATTTATAAATTTTTTATAAAATTA